GTAGCCGCAGCACTCGCTGCTATACTTTACAGTTGCAGTCATGCTGCAATCTGCCATTCCATACTAACATCATGCAGCTATGGTGCACCAACCAACATGTTTTCAGTCTTATTCTAGTTTAGTATTTTAGTTTAGAAACTGTAAGCCAGCTAGTTTACCCTGCTTTGTTTACATTTTGGGGGCGGCACCAGGGACCATCTTATCAGTCTGTTATGCATTGTCTCACTTTTGTGTACGATGGTCTTGTGGTGTGCCCCCCTATTTGCCAAATAAATTATTGGTTCATGTACATGCTCTTGTGTTTGTGTCATAAAACTCACTTTAATACTAATTATTTGTTTATTTATATCACCAATTCTGTATTAGGTGAATCTACCCCAAGTAAGTCCAAATGATGACCTAGCAGCCTTACCTGAACTCACAGAAAAAATCATTTTACAAGAATTAATGAAGAGATATAAAGTTGACCAAGTTTATGTAAGTTTTATACTTATTGCTGATGATTGGCTGACAAGATAAGGTCAACTGATAAGGTATTGCTTCCTGTAGCCATGTTTGGCTTGAGTATGCTAATTCTTCATTGGCAAGACAAGGTCAACTGATAAAATACTGCTTCCTTTTGCCATAATTGGCATGGGTATGCTAATTCTTCATTGGCAAGATAAAGTCAACTGATAAGGTATTGCTTCCTGTAGCCATGTTTGGCTTGAGTATGCTAATTCTTCATTGGCAAGACAAGGTAAACTAATAAAGTACTGCTTCCTTTTGCCATAATTGGCATGGGTATGCTAATTCTTCATTGGCAAGATAAAGTCAACTGATAAGGTATTGCTTCCTGTTGCCATATTTGGCATGAGTATGCTAATTCTTCATTGGCAAGATAAGGTCAACTGATAAGGTATTGCTTCCTGTAGCCATGTTTGGCTTGAGTATGCTAATTCTTCATTGGCAAGATAAGGTCAGCTGATAAGGTATTGCTTCCTGTAGCCATGTTTGGCTTGAGTATGCTAATTCTTCATTGGCAAGACAAGGTCAACTGATAAGGTATTGCTTCCTGTTGCCATATTTGGCATGAGTATGCTAATTCTTCATTGGCAAGATAAGGTCAACTGATAAGGTATTGCTTCCTGTAGCCATGTTTGGCTTGAGTATGCTAATTCTTCATTGGCAAGACAAGGTCAACTGATAAGGTATTGCTTCCTGTTGCCATATTTGGCATGAGTATGCTAATTCTTCATTGGCAAGATAAGGTATTGCTTCCTTTTGCCATAATTGGCATGGGTATGCTAATTCTTCATTGGCAAGATAAAGTCAACTGATAAGGTATTGCTTCCTGTTGCCATATTTGGCATGAGTATGCTAATTCTTCATTGGCAAGATAAAGTCAACTGATAAGGTATTGTTTCCTGTTGCCATATTTGGCATGAGTATGTTAATTCTTCATTGGCAAGATAAGGTCAACTGATAAGGTATTGCTTCCTGTTGCCATATTTGGCATGAGTATGCTAATTCTTCATTGGCAAGATAAGGTCAGCTGATAAGGTATTGCTTCCTGTTGCCATATTTGGCATGAGTATGCTAATTCTTCATTGGCAAGACAAGGTCAACTGATAAGGTACTGCTTCCTTTTGCCATATTTGGCACGAGTATACTAACTCTTCATTGGCAAGATAAAGTCAACTGATAAGGTATTGCTTCCTGTTGCCATATTTGGCATGAGTATACTAATTCTTCATTGGCAAGATAAAGTCAACTGATAAGGTATTGTTTCCTGTTGCCATATTTGGCATGAGTATGTTAATTCTTCATTGGCAAGATAAGGTCAACTGATAAGGTATTGTTTCCTGTTGCCATATTTGGCATGAGTATGCTAATTCTTCATTGGCAAGATAAGGTCAACTGATAAGGTATTGTTTCCTGTTGCCATATTTGGCATGAGTATGTTAATTCTTCATTGGCAAGATAAGGTCAACTGATAAGGTACTGCTTCCTGTTGCCATATTTGGCATGAGTATGCTAATTCTTCATTGGCAAGATAAGGTCAACTGATAAGGTATTGCTTCTTGTTGCCATATTTGGCATGAGTATGCTAATTCTTCATTAGCATGTGATATTTTAGTTGCTGGTGCATGGCTAAAGGTTGAAAATGGTCTGCTGCTTTTTACACTTCTGGAGTACAATGTACCGGTACTTCCCTGTATTCAATGCATATACTGGTGATTGAGAAGTGATTTTTAGTTCATGCTCTGTCAGCAATTTTGCCCAGCCTGAAATTGACACAGTGCTTCATTTGCATATCCATAACAAAGCATGTTGCCTAGGTAACAAATTTTAATCAAATTATAATGCTACCTAACAATATGCATGTTTTATTTTACAATACCGGTACTTTTTGTCTAGATTAGAAAACAGGGTTATTATTAGATTTGATTGGATTATGTGAATTAAAGATGAATAGTTACAAATAATGGCCATTTAAGGGATAGCAAGTTGGATTTTGAAAGACAAGTGTTTGCGGTTTTCATGAATCAAAGAAAATTTGTAGAAATAAACATTTCATTTGTGCTCTTTAATTAAAATTGCATTTCCACTTTTTAAATGTGAAGTACTATATGCATTGACAAATAAACACCTTCAAATGTTGATGATTGTGGTAATATGAGAAATACAAATTAAAGCGGTCTTCTTAAAATCAGTTGAATTTGTAAACTACTGTTTTCACCAGCATGTCTTTTTAGCAAATTTAGCAAGAGAACTGAATCGCTAATGACTTCATTGTAAATTCAAAATGGCGGCCAACAACATCTTTTTCTCCAGACACACACTTTGTAAACAACACAGAAAACGTAATAATCTGGAGCGCTTCCTTATTACACTTGACAGTTTTTCTTTGTTTTTATGGAGGTGATAACTACGCATTTGTTTTGGCAGGCGACAGACAAGTATTGTGAAAACAGGAAATCAACAAAGACAAGAAAGACTCGCTAAATCAACATTTCGCTATTACGTCATTTTACAACAATTCCCTAAAATAGTATGTCGCTTTTTCAACATGTTTTACAGTATAAACACTGAGTTAGGAGGCTTGTTTGTTCTTGAAGGTCCATTATATTGTAGATATGTTTGTTTGTTTGTTTGTTGAAGGGATGAGACCCTCCAGAACACTCAAAATGAAATGTACAGAAAACTGAGACTTTTTATAAAACTAATGATTAAATAATTTTAGTATGATATCGTTCTCTCCTGCTTAATGTGGTTGAGGTGTCCATCAATAAGTTGTGAAAGCTTCAATCGTAGTGACAAATATATAAATATAAATTACTTAAGAATAATTTTATTACAATCATATAGAAAAGTTGACACTTTTTGTTTGGTATGAATTGTATGGTTCTAAAATGAAAACTTTATGTCACACATTTCCCAAATTACAAATATAACAGGACAATTTTTACCATCAAAAAACGGATATCCTTATAATGAATTTTGTCCCCTGATTTTGCCTAATTGAAAGTATAAAATTATTTTTTTTGTCTTGTACCGGTAGACGTATGTTGGTGATATTTTAATAGCGGTAAACCCATTCAAGGAGCTGCCGATATATTCATCCGATGCTTCGTTGATGTACAAGAACATACAAGACCGCAAGTCAAAGTGTCCACACATATTCGCTGTAGCTGATTGGTCGTACCAGTCCCTGCTTCGTACTGGTCAACCGCAGTGTTGCGTCATCAGTGGAGAAAGCGGTGCCGGAAAGACCGAGTCCTGCAAGTATCTTATTCAGCATTTACTCACCCGAGCAAAAAGTCAAGAAAATCTTCTTAGTTCAAAAATTCAGCAGGTTTGTTTAATTTCATTGAGATATTAAAGAATTGTTATTAATAATTCAATCTTTAACATGGAATTAATATTAGCTGAATATTATTGTATTATGTTAGTATCTTATAAAAAATAGTTCCCAGATATTAATATTTCATTTTTAGTAAATAGTAGTAACAGTACTCTTGACATCTGTACTGTACTTGTTTTTGTTTTAAGAGTGCTTTTTAAACTGCCGTCTGCACCCATTAAATGCTTCTATTAAATGTATAAATATGTTATGATTTTGAATAATTCTGAAATACCACGAGTCGTATGTATGTTCTATTGTGTGTGTTTATAGCCTGAGCAACTAGTTTTTTAATTTGTCTGTTTTGTTAGCATCAGCCAATGGGCATGTACGTCTATGATAATAAAGTTAATGTCCAGTATTCTCTGATATTACTTTTTCATAGTGTTGTTACTTGGGGGGCTGATAAGGTGCTGAACTCAGATTATAAAATTGGGGGAAAACCAGTCTGTGGGATGTCTCATTGACAATCAGATGTTAGTAAAACACAGGTGTTATATGCAACATATGTCTGAATTTTTGTGAATAACAGAACAATGTAATTTAATAATTTATTGAAACAATATCATCTTGACTGAATTATGTGAAATGTGTGTTGGACACATTTCGCACATCAAGTGGTTTAACAATTTAACGACTCTGGCACTGTTATTATCACATGGTGTTCACCGCTATATTTATATGAATCATCTTTCATATACATTTAACAAACACCATGCCATTTCCTTGCATCATTAATATTTTAATTTAGTTATTTTATTTTCATAAATTCATCTTTTGTACCATCATACTGTGAATTAATTTATTTTCACTGGAATTAATTTTCGTATTTTTTATGGAATTTATTTCCGCTGATTTTTGGCGAGTTGAATGAATAATATTTTCAGCGAAAATAGCGAAAATTAATTCCAAGCGAAAATAAAGTATTTTACAGTAAATGAAAACTTTCTGTTAATAACATTCTTAGTATGTCTAGTCATATCTTGTGTTCTCACTGATGCTTCTCATTAATCAACCTCATCATCCATTCTTCTCATCCTTTCCTCCACTACTTTGCATATGCATCATCAGTTCAATGATGTGCCATCGTTTCTATGGGAACCAAGTAAGATGAATGCTAAAATTAAACAGGTAGGAGGCTGACAATTACAAATATCCGTGGTAACTAATTGTGGTGATTTAGATGTTTCAGTGATCAGTAATGTATTAACTTGGGAATAATTAAATAGGTGAAATCTTGTGATAACCATTTAAACGCCAACATAAAGTTTTGCGACCTTTTATAAAGTCAAACTTCGTGCTTTCTATTTGTCAAATTTTGATCAGGACTGGTCAATCATTTCATCTAAAATTAACAAAGAATGTCTCGAAAAATATGTTTTTGCACGTTTTTATGTATTTTTTCAAATTTTAGATCAAATGGAGATAATTTTCCACAAGACTTGATCAAGATTTTTGTAAAAAAGGGGAAAATTAATATGTGGGTTTGATTGGTATTTTGCATTCTTTTGAATTTCTAGTTTTCTTTGTTTTCCAGATCAATCCTTTATTGGAAGCATTTGGTAATGCACAGACGGTGATGAATGATAATTCTAGCAGATTTGGTAAATTTTTAGAATTGTTGTTCAACTTTGATGGACATGTACAAGGAGGTGAGTGTTTCTTTTTTTTATTGCCAACGAGGGCGCTCTTTTTACACAGTACCAGGGTAATGATGCTAGCTGTCCATCCCTGAAAACCTTGCAATAAAATGAGTTGAGAAGTGAATTTTTTTCAATGTTACAGTGAATTTCAAAAAGACATGAATGTTCTTTATATAAAATATTTAT